AAAAAAAATTCCGTTTTTTTTTTTTGAAAAATACGTGAAATATTCTAAATAGAATATTACACCGACATATTCTAAAAAATAATTTTAAAATGCAAAATAAATGGAAAAATCTAAAAATTCTTTTTTTAAATATTATTTTCGGAACTTGAATTAACTAAAAATAAATAAATAAATAAATAAAATTCTATTTTTTTTGAAAAATACGTGAAATATTCTAAATAGAATATTACACTGTACATATTCTAAAAATAATTTTAAAATGCAAAAAAATGGGAAAATCAAAAAATTCTTTTTTTAAATATTATTTTCGGAACATGAATTAACTAAAAATAAATAAAAAAAGAATTTTTTTATTTTTTTTATTTTTTTTAGTTAATTCATGTTCCGAAAATAGTATTTAAAAAAAGAATTTTTTGATTTTTCCATTTATTTTGCATTTTAAAATTATTTTTAGAATATGTACCGTGTAATATTCTATTTAGAATATTTCACGTATTTTTCAAAAAAAATAGAATTTTTTATTTATTTTTTATTTTTTTTAGTTAATTCAAGTTCCGAAAATAATATTTAAAAAAAGAATTTTTAGATTTTTCCATTTTTTTTGCATTTTAAAATTATTTTTTAGAATATGTCAGTGTAATATTCTATTTAGAATATTTCACGTATTTTTCAAAAAAAAAAACATAATTTTTTTTATTTTTTTTAGTTAATTCAAGTTCCGAAAATAATATTTAAAAAAAGAATTTTTGGATTTTTCCATTTATTTTGCATTTTAAAATTATTTTTAGATTTAGTCTCACGGTCTCACAAAATTAAAATGGTCTCAAATGAACCTGAACATATATATATATATATATATATATATATATATATATATATATATATATATATATATATATATATATATATAGGGGAAGGTTCATGCGAAAATGCAAATAATTTGCGAAAACAAGAAAAACCTATGATATTATATCACCTCAACATTATATTTTGGAAAATAATTCATCCAAACTTTGAAATACATGATGATAATCGATGATAGATGATAAACTGTTTCATATTAGCAAAGTATGATTTTTAACATTTTTATCATGAAAACATGAATTTAAAAATGATTAAAGATGTGAAAAAAATATAATTATAAAAACCGTCTTTAAATCTATATTACCATAACACCATCCAATTCAAACTTACTATCTTTAATTTATTGCTAATAAAATTATTTTTTTATAGTACATGTGTTTAATTTTCATAAGATAAAATCTGTTTTCGCATTTTCGCAGGATATTTATATTTTCGCATGAACTTACTTCTATATCTATATATATATATATATATATATATATATATATATATATATATATATATATATATATATATACACTAGCAGTGTACCCGCACAAAGCGGCGGGGCATGTAAATTCTTTCGGTGATATGTTTCCTCTACAAAAATGTTATTTTACAAAAGAAAGTACATGTCGAAGACAAAATAATCAAACTATGGTGTTATTTGGGAGATGAAGTCATTTTTTGTTCCTGGACGGTGGACTTTATAGCAGAGGAGGGAACAAAGAGGTATATGCGATTGGAGAGATATTTGAATCAACATGTTAAATTTAAGGATATCTAAAAGGGTTCAAAATTTGAATGAATCCGGGATTTGAGGGAACCATATCAAATTGTTGAGAAATATAAAGAGATTTGATGATAAATATTTCAATTCAAAATGTGGTTAAAATTTAATATTATTTTATTAATGGTTACTTGTACTATCAGCTTCATCATTTGGACGTCTTAAAAAAATAATATTAATATAATCAATCTATTTTTAGAAATAGTTAAATTTCTTTTATAAGATAGTAAAGATATATAGAGAGAGATTACCACGGTCCACCGACCATGTAGGCTCACCGCAAGTCGCAGTGTCGCACCCTATGGCTTAATAGTAATTGTGTTGATTGAGGGATTAATTAGCCGAATAGTCATTAGTTTTGTTGAAAAAATGTAAAGGTCTGGATTGTGCCGGTGAATTTTAGCCTACCTGGAACAAAATAAGTTATGTGAAATAATTGCAAGTTAGTGGAGAGCCATGAGAAATAAATCAATTTGGAACTCTGGCTGTTAATGGAGGTGGGTAAAAGTTATTATTTTGAGCCAATAATGTGTCCCCAAAGGTCCAAACCCATTTATTTAGTTTTATATTTGGGCTGGTTCGTTGATTTTGGGCTAAACTAAAAATCATATATATGGTAAGAAGTGTTGGATCGAAAAATGTTTTTAAAATCATAAGTTTACATCTAGAAATGTTTTAAAATGATAAGATTTACATCAAAAATTCTACATATGTGAGAAAATACGAAAATGCATAAACGTGCACACAGAAATGCATAGACAAAAGCCTTCCACTATGAAAAATTTTTATGAATATTTTTCTAGTTATACATTCGTTTTTTTGTACTTATGCTCCTTTAGTTTACAGATTCATTTTTTCAGTTATTTCAGTGGATTGATTTTATTCTTTTTTCAAAGCTAATTATAAATATTTATGCTATTTTATCCTAAAAATTCAAGGTTTTTAGTTTATATATCTTTACTATCTTATAAAGGAAATCTCACTATTTTTATAAATAAATTGAATATAATAATAATATTTTTTTAAAACGTCCAAATCATTAAGCTAACAGTACAAGTAACCATCAATAAAATAATATTATAATTTTTAATTGTTTAAATGGTGATACAATACGTACAAAACATTAAACACTAAATACAATTATTTAATGCATAGGTACCTTTATTTATCACGTGTTTTACCGCGTTAAAATTGGCATTTATCTCACGTTAAAATTGGCATTTATCACGTGTATATTTTCTAGAATTTTGGTGTTTTTGATTTTTTCCTTTTGCATAAATCTGCATTTCTAATATATTACTTTATTGCATTTTTGTGTTTTTGTTTTGTACATACATAAATTCCTCTGTGTGTATAGAACTGCGTTTGTATGTATTAAGTTCTTTGTATGGATGTATCGTTTGTTTTGTTTTTCTATTTTTGAAACTAATAGCTTTCATTTTTTCCTTTGTTAGGTTGGAGATGGCTTTGTTCGAGGAAAATCGTGAGTTTTTTTTTTTTCTAATATGGAAGTGAAGTTCATCTATATTATTAATTCTTTCATCTTCATGTATAAAGATTGTTCAAATGCATCTTTAGATTTGGCTGATTGTTGGGGTCAAGAGTTTGAGACTAAGCTCTGCCCATTGAAACATGTATGCATATTTATCACTTGATAAACACAATAACAATTGTGTGATTCTCCTTTGATTCACTCTCTTAGTCTGTTTTTGGTATGTTATCCACACAAATAGATTAAGGTTAAGAGATCATTTTTATTTTTTACTTCTAGAGTGGTATCCTTGGTTTTTGGTTAAATGAATAAAACATCATATGAAAAATAGAAACACATGCATGTAGCAACCGAAAGGAAAAGTGTTGGCTGCTCTTGAGCTCAATCATGGAAAAAATACAAATTGAAAAAACCATTATTTCTATTTTGGATTTCCATATAAATTAACTAATAAAATATTATTGTATATTTTCTTTATGATCTTAGTAAGTGTTAAGTGTTATCATTCATATATAATAACCAACCAGCAAACTTTTGACATGTTCATTTATATTAAACTTATGATGTATGTGATTAATTGCTTTCTTGAACTGGAAATGGCGTTTAGAGTGGGTTCCAATCATAAAATTGATGTAAAAATATCAGTAATAGGATAAACCAATTAATCTTCTTGACTTCTTGAACTGGAAATGGCGTTTATTAATAGTTTTATTGAACTATTTGTACTGAAATGTTTTGATGTGTTTGAAGGCTTTTGATGAAGCTATTGCTAAATTCTACTAAAATGACCAACGAATTCAATCATTGTCTCAACTGATAAAGATATGCGATTGAAAGAGAAAAACAATCAGTCAGTGGCTGAAACGTCCACCATACCTTCTCTCTGTAGCACTTTCTCACTCTAGAAAATAAGAAGGGCTTTTCGAGGGTTTTGATTTTTCAAGTCGGAGGATCATGTGTTTCTTTGTTGCTTATGTCTTCAAAATTTAAGAAAATGACCATTTTCTTCTCACTTATACATTTAAAAAAATATATCATTACATTACTGATCATTACACTATTTTCTTATTAAATTTGTTATTAAAAATTAATTCTATCCACCACAAAAGAGACACTCAAGAGCAAATTTTTTGAAGGGCAACGATTCACAAAGGCTGTGATTGAGGTTCTGTGGATTTCCAAGTTATGTGGTCTGGGCAGGTTTTGTTTTTGGAATCAGTCTTTTCATGATTGAAAGGAAGGTAAGCGCTTTCATACAAGGAGTCCATAAATTTGTCATGGACAGTTTGGTCTTTTGACAGCAAACTAGAGAATGCATCACCCTTTTGGTCGTTTAAGAATGAATGTTGCTGTCAAAGTTGTACTAGGTAGGATCGAGCCACATAATCAGGTTTGTAAAATTTAACATTTTCACGGTTATAAGTATGGAAGTATGTAGTATTTCCTGTCTTTATGTTGATGTCAACTATACAGTGTTTCCTACGTTTTCTATTTGTCCTCGTACAAACTAACCTATTATGTTAAAAAAGTTGCCCCACGATAGTTTTCAAAATATAAACAAATAGTTCATAAAAAAATATTTACAGAGAATAGACCGAAAAAAAAAAAAAAAAAATTCACATCTGACCCGCAACGCCGGGTAACTCACATAGTTGTAATTAATATGTTCTTTTTTCTTTATTTTAAAATACTTATTATTTAAATCTTAATATTTAATTTTGTTAATAATATAATATATAATATATAAATTTTATACCTGGTTATTAATAAATCACTTGAAGTTAGATTACTCAATTAAAAAAAAGGGTCATATTTTTTGACGAACTTATTTTATTATTATTATTATTATTATTATTTGAATTATACAATTCTAATCGTGTTTCAACAAGAACTTCCATGCAACCATTTTTGACACAAGCTCAATCAGTTCCTTCAAACTTGCTTCTTCGCATGGCGGTTAGGTAAGAAAAGAAGATTCGTGTAAATTCAGCTTTGAATGAAATCGGGTTACAATCAAATTCGCAACTTCAATTACCCTAGAAAGTTTCCCCAAATTCTGAAGATCTTAATCTTTAACCTAATTTTCGATTCGGTTCTCAATCAAGTTTCAAAAGAATACAAAATCAATCACTACATCTGCTCACAGAACCACAAACACACAAGATAAAGGATAAGGGATTATTTTCCACAAAATAATTTTGTGAATTCTTTATTCGACTATTAAATTGACACCATTTAAAAAAGGAAAATTTATCCATACTTTATCTTCCAGACTTCTTCCCTGTTTAACTCCATTTATTCACTTCTCTTGATCGCCAAGAAACACTCGACACCTAAACAAAAAAAGCTACAACTATGGAAGCCAATCAGCGAATTGCAAGAATCGCAGCTCATCTCCACCCTTCAAATTCCCAGGTTTTTCCCTCGATTCTTAATTTCATAGCCGCATAATTCCAGTGTTATGTGATTCTATAGATTCTTGTTTCAGCTCATATGACCCGTTAGGGTTCTTCATCTGCTACAATCTGAAATTGAATTTACCGGTTTCACCGATGATGGATTGATGCCTACTGTATTAGCCTGTTTCAAATCTGAATTCGACTAATGTCTATAGCTCAATACGGATGAGATTAGAACTATAAACCCTAATTGTAACTACAACCTTCGTTTTTTGTTGAATTATGTACTCGAAGATGGAAGGAGGCTCTGTACTCGAGCGAGCTAATTGCAGAGCAAAAGGAGGGGCGCCTGGATTCAAAGTTGCGATACTGGGAGCTGCTGGAGGGATCGGTCAACCTTTAGCTATGCTAATGAAGATGAATCCATTGGTGTCTGTTCTTCATCTCTATGATGTCGTCAATGCCCCTGGTGTCACAGCTGATATCAGCCATATGGATACTGGTGCTGTGGTAACTTTCTTTTCATCACTACTTTCTTAGCTATTTTATGAAATGTCTAAAATGCCCTTGATTCACCAATTTTTTTTTGTCAGGTGAGAGGTTTTCTAGGGCAACCACAGCTTGATGCTGCACTTACAGGGATGGATCTTGTGATCATACCTGCTGGTGTTCCAAGAAAGCCTGGAATGACAAGAGATGATCTTTTCAAGATCAATGCTGGAATTGTTAAAACCCTTTGTGAAGGAATTGCCAGGTGTTGCCCTAATGCAATAGTCAACTTAATCAGTAATCCGGTCAACTCTACAGTTCCAATTGCTGCTGAAGTTTTCAAGAAAGCTGGAACTTATGATCCCAAACGCCTTCTTGGTGTCACCATGCTTGATGTTGTTAGAGCCAACACTTTTGTGGTATGCAATCAATTCCTTATTCTTTACAAGTTTGACTTTTGTTGACCATGCTTGAAGTTTTCAAGACTAGAGAATTTTTAATTGATTTTACTTTTTCAGGCTGAAGTTTTGGGACTTGATCCAAGAGAAGTTAGTGTCCCTGTGGTTGGAGGACATGCTGGAGTTACCATTTTGCCCCTCCTTTCACAGGTGAAGCCTCCATGTTCCTTCACTAAAGAAGAAACTGAATACTTAACAAAGCGCATTCAAGATGGTGGAACTGAAGTTGTTCAGGTAATAAAAAGTTAAAAACCACATCATTTTTTTTTCTCTTTTTAAAACTAATATTTAATTATTTATATAAACTTATGATAACCTAAAATTACAATTTCAGGCGAAAGCTGGGGCTGGCTCTGCAACACTTTCCATGGTAAGCCGTATAAGGATTAAATTTAATGAAAATTGTGAAATTTGTTATTCTGAATGTAAGGGTAAAATGGTCATTTAGTCCATGAAATTAAAATAGAGAATTAATCAAATTTCGCAGGCGTATGCAGCGGTTAAATTCGCAGATTGTTGTCTTCGTGGCTTAAGAGGTGATGCTGGCATTGTGGAGTGTGCTTTTGTAGATTCTCAGGTATAAAATTACTATAATACCCCCATCCCACATGAATAGGTACTTAATGAGCTTAATTGGTTAAACACTTAATCTCAACAACTATACATGGTTGTTTCTTTTTGACTTAATGGATTAAGCCAAAAGATCTTGGCTTAATGTATGTATACATCACATTAGGGTAAAATGGTCATTTAGTCTAATTCAGATGATTTATTCGGTCTAGAAAAGAAACAAACCTTATGTATACATCACTTTATCCAGACATCATTACCTATTCAGCCACTTTACTTATACATGACTTTATGAAAAATAAATAAATAAATAAATAATAACTTTTATAAAACTTAAGTTTATGAAGTTTTTTTGGAAAATGTTGGATAATAGGTGACGGAATTACCCTTCTTTGCAACACAAGTGAAACTAGGGCGTGGTGGTGCGGAAGAAATATACCAACTTGGACCTTTGAATGAATATGAAAGGTAAGAAATTGATTGAAACACAATTTATATTATTTATTTATTTGAATTTTGGGTGAAATTAAGAATTTATGTTTGCATAAATAGGGCTGGATTAGAGGAAGCTAAAAAAGAGTTGGCAACAAGTATTGAAAAGGGGGTTTCTTTTATAAGGAAATGAAAGGGTGGTGTGAGGATGATGAGGTGGTATACAAGTGTTGATTCTATTATCATGGCTTTCTTTGTTACTTCATGTTGCATGTAATGTACGAATCCAAATATACATAAAATAGATGTATTAGAATACTTATATCACATATTATATTCTAATCTTGTTACTTCTTGCATCTATTTTATGGGCAATACAATCTTTAGGTTTTAACTTGATGCGTGATCTAAAAAAGAATTTGATTATTGTTGGATATATTCAAAATGTTGAACATTGTATACAAATAAAGTTATGAGAACTATGATCAATGGAAACATGTTCCACTTAGGCTGTGTTTGGCGCGCCAGGGTTAGCTGATAAGCTAGCTTATTTTTCGAGCTTTTTTATGTTGTCGTGTTTGGTAAGCCAAAAAGTAGCTTATAAACTAGCTTATAAGCTAGCTTTTTGAAAAGCTACTTAGACTAACTTTTTAGGAGTTTTATTAAAAATTTCCAAATACACCCCTTAATTAATTATAGAAAACATTCTCACATGTCCTTTTATGTAATTTTATATATTTCAGCTAGCTTTTCAGCTAGTTTTACCAAACGTCATTTTTATATCAGTTAGTTTTTCAGCTATCAGCTAGCTTTTTATTTAACAGCTAACTTTTCAGCTATCAGTCAGCTTTTTAGCTAACAGCTAGTACGTCAAACATAGACTTAGAGATATTAAGAGTATCTTTGGAATGATGAAATGGAATCTTGGAATGAAATATAAGGTGGTGTTTTTTGTGTAGTGTAATCTTAATGGATTATAGATGAATGAAAAAAAAAAAATATTGTTTGGTTGCCACGAAAGAAGAAAGAATTAAATGAAGCATTTCTCACGGAATGTGATATTTTCTCATCTGTTGATTTATTATTATTATTATTTTAAAAAGTATACATAATAATTAGGTGACATTTTTTCCGGAAGATAATTAGGTGACATAATTAATTAGCAGAAGAATAAATATATATATATATATATATTCTCAACCGAGTAGCATTTTTTTGTTCTCAACTGTGGTAATATTTAGGGAAAACAACATAAAAGCCATTATAGTTTTGTCAAAATCCAGTTCAAACACTGTATTTTATTTTGTTCTAGAAAAATCATTTATGTTGGCGAAAAATTCCAATGCGACCAATGTGACCTTGTATGGTTGGCTCATCAGGTTAAAATAATAACATGCCATTTTTTTCCACTAAAACCTCCTAACTTTAACATAATTTTCTGATTTGTCCATTATAACAATTATATATAGATATTGTTATAATTATTTTGTTATACACAACATGTTTTTGTTAGAAAAAGTTGTTGAAACTACAAAAATTTGTTAAAGACACTGTTTTGTTGTTGTTATTCATTTTTTTGTACTTTTTCTTAATAAATGAAAAATATGTTGATGTCGAATCATCTAAAATTGTGCATTGTATCTTAAATTATAGATAAAGTGTCACATAAGATTTAAAAAAAAAAAAAAAAAAAAAAAAAAAAAAAAAAAAAACCTTGTAAACATATTATAGCTCAAATCGAAAAAATTACAAAAAAAAATTGTTATTTTGAAAACAAATGAACAAGTCTTAAAATTTATTTGCTTAATGTTTTAGTTTCTATCATTATAATTATTTAAAACATCAAACATTATTTTTTGATTTTAAAGGTAACAATATAATCATTTATATAGAGTTATTTTTAACTATTGTTATTGTAAGTTATTTTAAGCTACTTATTTGAAAACTTTTAATGGTTATAAAAATATCATTAGAAAATATTTTAGTTAAATTAATATTACAATTTTGTTTTAGCATTTATAACTATAAATTATCATTTTTAACTATTTATAAAATATTATTTAGTTTTTTAAGTGGAACTGAAATTTATATTTAAGTTGACATTGTAATGTTATATTTATGTTCACAATTTAAGTATTTTGTCCAAACTGTTCAAAAGTTGTAGTTTTAAACTGATAGTGATTTACATTTAACATGATATTAAATGTAATAAATTAAGTATAATATGTTAAAATTTAAAGACATAATTTTATAAGTAGAAGTAAATATATTATTTTACAACTGAAATTTAGTTTATTTATGATTACACTTTAAGTTTGATATTTATTTAACCTTATTAACCAACTTATAATCATTATTAGAAAGACACTACAATTTATCACTTTTAACTATTTACAAAATATTTTTTGGGTTGTTTAAGTTAAACTAAAATTTATATTTAAGTTCTGTAATGTTATATTTAAATTAATAATTTAAGTATTTTATACAAATTATTCCAAAGTTGTATCTTTAAAATGATAATGGTTTACATCCAACAATATATTAAAACTAATAAATTAATTATAATATGTTATATGTTAAAAAACATAACTTTATTAGTAGAAGTAAATATATTATTTTAATATTGAAATTTAATTTATATATGATTACTTGTTAGGTTTGATATTTATTTAACCTAGTTAACCAAATTATAATTATTATTATTATAAAGAAATTGAAAAATCATGGGAGTTTCAAATGAATGTGGTGAAAGGAAAAATAGATGGAAGTTTCAAATGAATGTGGTGTAAGGAAAAAATGTTAGCTTTATAGGTATATATATATATATATATATATATATATATATATATATATATATATATATATATATATATAATGATTATTTTAAAAAGTATACATAATAATTAGGTGACATTTTTTTTCCGGAAGATAATTTGGTGACATAATTAATTAGCAGAAGAATATATTTTTTGTCTCAACAGTAGCATTTTTTGTTCTCAAATGTGGTAATATTTAGGGAAAACAACATAAAAGCCATTATAGTTTTGTCCAAAATCCAGTTCAAACACTGTATTTTATTTTGTTCTAGAAAAATCAGCAAAAAATTCCAATGCAACCACTGTGACCTTGTATGGTTGGCTCATCAGGTTAACATGCCATTTTTTCCACTAAAGCCTCCTAACTTTAACATAATTTTCTGATTTGTCCATTATAACAATTATATATAGATATTGTTATAATTATTTTGTTATAGACAACAAGTTTTGTTAGAAAAAGTTGTTGAAACTACAAAATTTTGTTAAAGACACTGTTTTGTTGTTGTTTTTCATTTTTTTTTTTCTTAATAAATGAAAAATAGGTTGATGTCAAATCATCTAAAACTATGCATTGTATCTTAAATTATAGATAAAGTGTCACATAAGACAAAAAAAACCTGGTAAACATATTATAGTTCAAATGGAAAAAATTACAAAAGAAAACTGTTATTTTGAAAACAAATGAACAAGTCTTAAAAAATTAAAAAAGCAACAAAATACCATTTTTATATTTATTTTGAACACCACGTTTTATCAAGATAATCTGCTAAATCAGTAATTGTTGGTTATGGTGGTTGTATTGAATTCATTTTACAACCATAGATGATTTTTTTAGAAAGCTTAAACTGGATTATTAATAGTTTAATAATTCATTTTGCATATTTAACATTTGAAATTTAAAGTTTCAAACTTATGATCACTCAATCACCAACCATTTACGAGCTTTACTTCCAAACAAATGAGTTCATAATGAAAGGTCAAACTGCCACCCAATGAAGATATTTTATATTTATTTTTAATAATTTTTAATTAAACATAAATCTGTTGGAACCAGATTTTTGGTCCACTAATATATTTATATTACTTAGAGTATCATAATCTCCTTAAACCATTGACCTAAGAGGATTACCGGATCTCTGCTGATATAGTAATTAATTATTTTTTTGGATAATCAATTATTTTTGTTGATAAAAAAAAGTTGTATTATTGAATTTAATGTCATATGGTATTCAGGACAATTTCAACAGCCAAACACATTACATGACACATTAATGATGATATGATACAAAGTATGCATGCGTATGTTATAAAACGATGACACATTATAAGTTGTGACATATTTAAGAACGAAAAGTGAATTAAGTAATCTATTTAACAACATAAATAGTTTCTTACCCAACTTAATACCAAAGTGATATTGGTTGTTATTATAACAATCAATTAACCCTTAATCTATTTTATTAAAAATGATGAGATTTAGTTGAAAAAGATAGAGAAATATTGTGTTATGTTTTCCTTTAAAAAAACAATATTAGGGCTGTCAAGATCGGGATCTTATATATGATCGTTTTTGTTTTTTAAGATCGTGATCGTAACATTTAATCGAGATCGTAAGATTCTACCAAAAACATTTTTAAAACATAATAAATATTTATATAAATTAGTTAAACATTAAGTTAATAATAAATGATTCTCCAATATATCATTTAATAATAAACAATTCAATACAAGTTTTTTAGTCTAACACAAAATATTAGAAATAAAAAGAAATAGCAACGATCCTACAATCATACAATCGATCCTACGATCCTACTCTGATCTTGCCCAAAAACAACTCGTATATGGTCAGGATCGATTTACCTAAATAGGATCGTATTATCCTACAATCTTGTCACAATTTTAACAAGCTTTAGGAATGATGGTCACAAACCAGGTTGATTTTGTTATTTACATGTTATAATTTGTTTAAAATCATTTCTTGAAAATTAAGATCTTTCTTTAAGAATTTACACAAATAATGGTAAGCTTGTAATGTACCAATTTAAAGGGCAACATGCATAATTGCATATGCATAGAAAGTAATTTTTACAAACGAAATTTCTGATGTATAACTTTAGCTAATTTTATTTTGGGTGGGGTAAGGGGTCGTCATATTTTTATATAAAAAAAAAATAGTTGTCTTGTTTTAAAATTTAAAAGAGTTTATTTTGATACATCATAGTCAAATTATAAAAGATTAAAAATAAAATGTTAGGTAAGAAGATCGCAACATATGGTCAAGGTCAGAAATTGATAAATCATTATTCATTCCAACTAATTTGAGATACAAAAAACATCTTTATCTTTATATAATTATATATTGCACTAAAATCAATTCAAATAAAGAAAAACAGTATTCAAAAACATAAATACCTTTAATGAATATACATAAACAATAGAAACTGACCTATTCTCTCCAAAGTACGAAAAACAATTAAGAATTATTCCATGGAAATTATTACAAACTTGATGCATTATCATAAATCAAGATTTATCAAACATATTACACAACAAAAGAGACATTAATAGACCTATAAAGCACTCATCACCAAACACTTCAACTGATTCATACTCCTGTTTTTTCATCCATCTAAAAACCCTATCAGATTCAAGTGAAAAGTTATAGAAAAAAATGCCCACAAATTTATAGCCAAAGAGGTTGCTACTTCACAACAAAAGGATTGTTATCATGGTCAACAAGTCAACCATGAAAAAAAGTTTGAGAAAAAAAATCCTCTTGCAAAATAA